TTAAGGTTACCTGCTAACTGAAACCCTTTTCAACACCCCACTTTTTGCTCTTTATGAAATTTCATCAAAAAAGTAGAAAATATGGCGTACTCCCATCAAAAGATCAACAACAACAATCGCTACTAAAAAAGAAAAGTCATATACAGGAATATGTACCTACTTTGGGATGAATAATGTTTGACCGTATTATCTTAAGAGGTTGCAGTGTTTATACTGAGTGCTTTAGCGTGCTATCAGGTTTAGCATGTCAACTTTGCTCAGAAACGAAAACAAATGATCATGTATTGCAGAATGCTGGATGAAGACTTGGTAGGACCACAAGAGAAATATCGAACTTGGATCTCTAGTCAAAAATAGATATTTTATATATCCTAATATAGATATAAATAACTAGCATAGAGTTTAAACTAGTTTTTAGTAGTACTATATAATTTTTACAGTCTAGCACGGGCTTAATAGTGCCACCCTTATCTTCTTTTCTTTTATTTTATTTTGTTTTTTTTTGTTTATATTTTTGGTTTTATTTGTTTTAGTTAGGTTAGATTTCGTTGCTGTGTTTATTTCTTTTTGTTTTTTTTTCCTTAAAATTTGTATATGTATTCTTATTACTAAAAAAAAAAGCCTATATCGAGGCGAGGGGCTTGTAGTCATCAGTCGAGGATTGAAGGGAAAAAGTTCTTAGCAAGTTAAGAATCTGGATTGAGACCAATGATTATTGAGGCAGGCCACATTAAGCGAAAGCTTGGTACGCTATTGGGTTAGTAGATTAATATAGCTAAGAGAGAAATTCTTGTAATTTGTCAAATAGTTATGATCTTAAATAACTGACGGCAGGCAGCTGAATTATAAAAAAAAAAAATAATATAATATATAGAGATATTCATAGCAAAAGCAGAAGATAGGAATATATATTATATAGTTCTATTTTTGCTTTCGCTATGAATATTTCTATATATTATTACATACTTTACATCTTTATAAAATTTTAGATAATTGTAAAATATGTGTTAAAGAAATATGAAACTATATATTAAATACAACCAGACGATATATATATACATATGCATATATGTATATATTATTATCTCTTGCAGTATCTGATATTTTAGTCAATTCATTATTAACTAAACAAGATCAATTTGTAGAGGTTAGTACAAACTGCAATATGTAGTTATTGTTATTACAGATATCTACATTACTCAATAATAATTCTTTGTTAGTTTTCTTGCTTGTCAGTAATTTTGGAGTTGGCATTGTCTATACGGTTTTTGGTATAGATAGCTTAGAAAATATTGGTAATGGTTTTTTACAGAATAGAGCAATCTGCGCAGGTTAAAAGTTGTTTCACACATCTATATTAGAAAAAGAATAAGCATGAATGTATCCTGCAAATTTACTTGTTATAGGCTAAAATCACTCAAACTATTTAGAAATACCAGTTATAGTTTTGGATTTTTTGATAGTATTAGTTTCTAGGTTCTTGCTAATTATATTATGAGAATAACAAGTACAGTATATATTATCAAAAATAGAAATAAAGATATATGGGCTAGGTGTTAGAAAAAGAGACGAAATTGATAATTTTTTTTAAATAAATTTTTTTTATTATATAAATTAATTTAAAATAATATTATAAATATTTTTTTACTTAAGACACAAAAGTAGCTATATTTATAATTAATCAATTTTGTCCTATTCTTAGCACCTAGCTCATATGTTTATTAAAAATATTTAAATAAGAAATTTTGGTTAGATAAAGTATTTTTAATAATCGATCATTACAAATTTTATTATTATAAGAGCTATTATTAATAGCTTGGTGGTACATCATAATTAATTTTGACATAGTTAGAACTTGTACAATTATCATATACAGGTTTTGTCAATATTAATTACAAAGATTTGTCACATTCATTTTAATAAAGTAATTACTTCAATAATTCTGAATTTGGTTCTATATCATTTTGATTACGATTTGGTTCTATATGTGCTACAGATGTTCTACTTAGATTTTGGAATACTTCTTTAATATTTGTTTCTTCGGCAAGATCATATCCAATTCTAATATAT